AGAAGCCAACATATCAATATTAACTCTAAATGTAAATGGATTAAACTCATCAATAAAAAGACACAGAGTAGCAGGCTGGATTAAAAAAAAAAAATCCAACCTTCTACTGTCTCCAGGAAACACATTTAACCACAAAAGATAAATACAGACTGAAAGTAAAAGGTTGGAAAACAATCCTACAAGCAAATGGACCAAAAAGAAGGCAGGAACAGCCATACTTATATCAGATGAAATAGACTTCAAATTAAAAAAAGTAAAAGAGACATAGATGGACACTACATTATGATCAAGGGGACAATACATCAGGAATATAATAACACTCATCAACATATACTCACCTAAATGAAGGGGCACCAAAATATATTAGACAATTATTATCAGCTCTGAAAACAGATATTAAAGAAAATACATATATAATGGGAGACTTCAACACCCCACTCTCACCAACGGACAGATCAACAAGACAAAAAATAAACAAAGACACTACAGACCTAAATAAAGACATAGAACTCAGTCTTAACAGACATCTATAGGACACTGCACCCAAAAAAATCCAAGTACACATTTTTCTCAAGTGTGCATGGATCATTCTCCAGAATCGATCACATACTGGGCCACAAACAAATATCAACAGATACATGAAGATCAAAATCATTCCAACTATCTTCTCCAATCATATAGGCATCAAGCTAGAAATAAATCATGAAAAGAAAACAAGGAACCCTCTCACTTCATGGAGATTGAAATCCACACTACTGGAAGACCACTGGACCAATGAGGAGATCAAAGAAGAAATTAAAAAATACTTTGAGTTGAATGACAGGAGGACACCACTTACCAGAATGTATGGGATGCAGCAAAAGCAGTAATAAGAGGAAAATATATAGCAATACAGGCTCACATCAACAAACAAGAAAGAACTCAAAGAAACAACCTAATCTCACATCTCAAAGAACTAGAAAAGAACAACCAAAAAACCTAAAGCCAGTAGAAGAAAGGAAATAATAAAACTCAAAGCAGAAATAAATGAAATGGATATTTAAAAAAACAACCAAAAGATCAATGAAAGCAAAAGTTCGTTCTTTGAAAGAATATAAACAAAATAGACAAACCTCTAGCAAGGCTCACAAAGAAAAAACGGGAGAAAACTCATATAAATAGGATAATAAATGAAAGAGGAGAAATCACAACAGACTCAGTAGAAATCAAAAGAATAATCAGAGATTACAATGAAAACTTATACGCAAACAAATTCAACAACCTGGAAGAGATGGACAAATTCCTAGAACGATATAATCATCCAAAGCTGGACAAAGAAGAAATAGAACAACTAAACAGACCAATTACAAGCAGCGAAATTGAAGCAGTAATCAAAGCACTCCCCAAAAACAAAAGCCCAGGCTCAGACGGCTTCACAAATGAATTCTACCAAATGTTCAGCAGTGAATTAGTGCCTATCCTGCACAAACCCTTTCAAAAAATTTAAAAAGAAGGAATACTACCAAATGCATTCTACGAAGCCAACATTACACTAATAACAAAACCCAACAAAGACAGCACAAAAAAGAAAATTACAGGCAATCTCCCTAATGAACATTGATGCAAAAATCCTCAATAAAATCCTTGCCAACAGAATCCAACAATGCATCCATAATATAATTCACCAAGTAGGATTTATTCCAGGGACACAAGCATAGTTCAACATCCAAAAATCAATCAACATAATCCAACACATCAACAAAAAGAAATATAAAAACCACATGATAATATCCATAGATGCTGAGAAAGCATTTGACAAAGTACAACACCCATTCATGATAAAGGCCCTTGAAATTCTCGGGATACAAGGAACATACCTCAACATCATAAAGGCCATCAATGACAAGCCAACAGCCAATATCATTCTCAATGTTGAAAAGCTGAAAGCATTCCCATTAAGATCTGGAACAAGACAAGGATGTCCACTCTCACCACTGCTTTTCAACATAATACTGGAAGTCCCAGCCACAGCAGTAAGACAAGAGAAAGACATACAAGGAATCCAAATAGGCAAGGAAGAATTAAACTATCACTATTTGTGGACAATATGATATATACATAGAGAACCCCAAACTCCACAGAAAAACTAATTAAACTAGGGCCTCCCCCGTGGCGCAGCAGTTGAGCGCTGGGTTTTGAAGCTGCCTGCAGCCTCTGCAGCGCCAGTTCGATCCCTGGCTGCTCCCAGGCCCTGGAGGGGGTCCCACAAGGCGCACAGACCTCTCCTGCCATGCCAGCTGCTCCCCTCAGCAGTGTACTTCAGTCCTTCTGCCTGCTCTGCTGCCTGCTCTGGCTCTGGTGAATTCTCTCACCCTCCCACGCTTCTCACTGTACCCAGTGCTTGTATAAATAAAAAAAAAAAATCTTTAAAAAAACCCCAAAACTAATTAAACTAATCAATCAGTTTAGTAAAGTGGCATGATACAAAATCAATGCACAAAATCAGTAGCCTTCCTACACACAAACAATAAATCTGAAGAAGAAGAATTCAAGAAAACCATACCTTTTATTACTGAAACAAAAAAAAATCAAATACTTGGGAATAAACCTAACAAAAGAGGTAAAGGACCTAAAAAACAAAAAAAAAAAAAAACTATAAAAGGCTATTAAAAGAAATAGAAGTAGACACAAAGAAATAGAAAGACATCCCTGCTCATGGATCGGAAGGATTAACATTACCAAAATGGCCATTGTACCAAAAGCAATCTACAGATTCAATGCTATTCCAATTAAAATTTCAATGTCATTCTTCAAAGATATAGAAAAAATATTGATGAAATTCATATGGAGCCACGAAAACACCAAATATCCAAAACCCTCCTGAAAAAAACAAGAAGGGAATGGAGGCATCACACTCCAGACTTCAAACTATACTACAAGCAATAATAATCAAAACTGCATGGTATTGGAACCAGAACAGACACACAGACCAATGGAACCAAAAAGAAAACCCAGAAATAAACCCACAGATTTATGGTCAACTAATCTTTGACAAAGGAGCAGGAATATGCACTGGAGCAAAGAAAGTTTGTTCAATAAATGGTGCTGGGATCACTGGGTCACTACATGCAAATGAATGAAACTTGCCTACTACCTCACACCATGCACAAAAACCAACTCAAAATGGATTAAAGAACTAGACATAAGACCTGAAACCATAAAATATACAGAAGGAAATATAGCGAACCACTACATGACATGCACCTCAAAGACATCTTTACAGACACATGGCCCAAAGCAGTGATAGTAAAGGCAAAGATAAACAGCTGGACTACATCAAATTAGAGAGCTTCCGCACAGTGAAAGAGACAATAACAAAACAAAGAGAAACCCAATGGACTGGGAGAAAATTTTTACACACAACACTAATGATAAAGGACTGATCTCAAAAATTTACAGAGCTGATGAGACTCAACAAAAATAAAGAAAATAATCCAGTCAAAAAATGGACAGAAGAGCTAAAAAGAAACTTCTCCAAAAGGAAATACAAATGGCCAACAGGCATATGAAAAAATGTTCAACATCACTTGTAATCAGGGAAATGCAAATCAAAACTACCATGAGATACCATCTCACACCAGAATGGCACATATTAAAAAAACTAGCAACAACAAATGTTGGTGAGGATGTGGAGAAAAAGGAACTCTCCTGCACTCTTGGTGGGAGTGCAAACTGGTCCAAACACTATGGAAAGGTGTGTGGAGATTCCTCGACCTACTAAAGATAGAGCTTCCATATGATCCAGCAATTCCACTCCTAGGTATTTACCCAAAGGACACAGACACATCAATTCCAAAGAGCACCTGCACCCCTATGTTTATAGCAGCACTGTTTACAATAGCTAAGCTTTGGAAACAACCCAAATGCCCAAAAATAGATGACTGGATCAAGAAGATGTGGTACATATACACCATGGAATATTAATCCGCATTCAAAAAAGATAAACACATGCAATTTGCAGCAACATGGGTGGAGCTAGAAGGGATCATGCTCAGCGAAATAAGCCAGAAAAAAAAGAAAAATACTGGATGGTCTCACTCATAGCAGGAATCTAGAAAACTAAATAAGGGACCAGGAAAAAGAAAAACTGTAAGAAAGAAAAAATCAAAATCAACAAACAACTATGAACCAGAGACACACTATGGGGGGAGGGGTGGGAAAGGAGGGGCTGGGTCAAAATAAGGGAGTTGCAATTGTATAGGGAACATAAAAATTAAAAAAAAAATTGAGGACAAAAAGGGTGATTAGATACGCAAATTGTAGTAAATCTCTCCAATGCAATACTACTCAGTAATAATTTTAAAAATACATGCTGATATAAAAAAGTCTTTTAAAATTATTGAGGCACAGCAGTATATTTCAGTCATCTGCCTATTCTGCTCCCCATTTTGTCTTTGGTGAATCCTCTCACCCTCCCACACCTTGACCTGTACGCCAGCTCTTGTATAAAAATAAATCTTTAAAAAATAATAAAATAAAATAAAATAAAATAAAATTCATAGGTGACTCTATGCCTTTATATTGTGTAAAGCACCTCTCAGGTCTAATTGTTATTTACTGGACACAATAGATGGTTGTAAGCTGACAAAGCAAATATGATTATAGAGTCTATATATTTCTCACATTCACTAGATTCAATCTTTAGCCTTAACCAATTACTTCTTTTGAGTTTTCCTTCAGAAAGTTTGAAAAATATCATTCTTAATGGAATACTTACTTCTCTTGCTGCTTTTTCCTCTTCATACTTATATGTTCTTATTTCAAACGATTACATTCATCAATTAACTTGTCATTTGTTTCTTTTTGCTTCTCATTTTCAGTTTGAAGCCTTCTTATAGTGTCCTGAAGCTGGCCTTGAATATTCACTAATATCTCCTCTTTATTGTCAGTTTTGTTGTAAGCCTCATTCAGTTGCTGTTGAAGCAACATGTTTTCCCTTTGTTTGTGAGATAATCTCTCCTCTAAATGTAGCTTCTCCTCTCTTGTCCTTGGAAATGACATTCTAGGTCTCTCTCGGACTTGTGACTTTGACCACGATCTTGTACAGCAGCATCCTGTCTACGATGGCAGGATTCAACTTCTGATTTCAGTGTTTCTGTTTTTAGTTTTTCATTTTCCAATTGAGTGCTTAGCAAGTTATTTTCACACTTTAGAACAAGAAGTTGTTCACAATGTTGAGATACCGTTTTTGTAAGTCTTTCCTCACTCAGTTGTATTGTTTCTCGCAGAAAATCATTCATTTCTTCTAAAATTTCAATGGTCTTTTCTTTTTCCTGGTTTTTATTTTTCATTGTATTTATTTCCAGTTTTAGCATACTGATTTCATCCTGCAAAGTGTGGCTTTTATGTACTGGATCTTTCTCTCTTTCATTACTCTCAGAAGCCTAAGTAAAATATAGATTTTGTTAGCAGTCAACAAGATTACAATTTCTCTGAAATTAAAAGCAAATGATATGCTTATAAATGTAAAGATGGCAATAAAGGCTTTACAACTAAAACAAAATCAGTTGGACATCAAAATTTACATAAGTATAACTGCCCCAAAGTTCAGGAATTTAACTGAAGACTGAGTCCATGACGATAAAAAAAGGAAAAATGAGAAAACTAAGAATCTCAGAATTGGAAAGAGACTAGCTATGAATTACAACAAATGCAGAAGGCATAAAAGATTAGTGTATATCTTCAGACTGATTCAATTTCCTAAAAGTTTTTTTAAGCTACACATATGAATGAACTCATTTATGAATGAACTCATTTAGATGTCTCAGGAAGGGAGAAGTTAAAAATACAAGCAAACTACAGGATTTCCCCAGGTCCTCTGACTCTACTAGCGCTAGTGTACCAAACCGCATCTGCTTCCTTGGAGTAAATATATTGATACAAAAGAAGTCTTCTGTTTCAAAGCACTAAAGGTAAATAAGGTGAAATTTATATGCTCTCTTTAAAAATCATGAGATTATTCCCTGGTGCAGTTAGTTTTATTTCTTCTTCAAAATGTTTAAAATAGTAAAAATGTGAAATAGAAGACCACTGCAGAATTTGTGGTAATAAAATAATTATTGATAAATTGTCACTAAGTATATATTATGGCATATCATTTCTAAAACTCCTTATATGGACATAGTTGCTATTTAAGAGGAAAAAAAAAGTTACTTTCTCAAAACTAGAAAAGTTACATCCAAAGTATTATCTCTGACAATACTTCTGACGAACATAGATGCAAAAATTCCCAACAAAAATCTTAGCAAACTGGATTAAAAGGACTGAAAACAAGAGCCCCATGGCACCTAAAGGCCGTAAGGCATGGTGATTTGGGGGCTCTCTGGCTTGGCATGCAGCCACATGGGGGCCGCCCTTCCCCCACTCCATACCTCATCCATGTTCCCTCAACCCCCAGCCTGGCAGGCTCCAACTGCAGTGGCGGTGGTGGGTTCCTTGCTCTACCCTCACCAGCTAGTCCTGGGGCTCTGGCAGTGAGACTTGTCCAGGCCCAGAGTGAGCTGGGGGAAAGAGTCCTACAGGCTGTGCACATGGCCATCATGGCAGGCTCTGAGCAGTGGTGCTATAGGAGTCCTTGCTGCACCAGCCAGATAGGACACTGGCAAGCAGCTAAGAAAACGGCCTCACACAGTGGGGCCGAAGCTCAAAGAGCCTCACAACGTGGGGCTGAAGAAAAAGGGCCTCATCATGGGGCTGAAGACTTTTGAAGAGCCTCACACCATGGGGCTGAAGAGTCCTTGTGCCTCACACCGTGGGGCTGAAGATTAAATATCCCTCTGGTTTTTGTTCTTGGTCATAAGAAGAAAGAACTTCTCAGTAAATACATTGGGCAATAAATTATACATATAAAAATACTGTAAATACATGGCATGGAGAATTACCTACTTAAAAATTAAACACTCAATAATTTGGCCCACTTGACAATGGGAAATTATTATTGTGCAAGGGCATGCCTGATAAGTAACCCAGAGCTGGCCGCAATTTTCCTTATATGGAAGTTCCATAAAGAAGCTTCCCAATGATTCATAAAGTTGATTACGCTAGGAGTTTCTAGGTAGAAAAAAGTTCTAATAACTGATAACTGGGAAGCAACTGGTCTCTAGCTGCAGGCCATATAGATAGAGGAGTCTCCTGATACTGTAGCCTTGGCGGATAGGGAGGTGCCAAGGACTATTAGCTGTCTTAGGTAGTTGTTTAAGCTGAAATAATGAGTATAAGTTTTAATTATCTATTAACTTTAAGGTCACCTCTTTTCTCAAAACACGTGGGCACCAAAGGTCCATGGGAAAGGAATGTACTGATTGTTTCTGTTTTGTGTCTATGGATGCAATGATGTAATCCCACCGCTTGCCTTAATGTATAAAGACCCGCTGAGACCCTCAGCAGGAGATACTTGCGCCAGAGAGAGTGTCTGTGTCTGCCTCACTCCCTTTCCCCTCAGCCCTCAAGTTTCACCAACACTGTCTCATCCTTTCAGGGACACCTGACCTGACATTTTGCTGGAGCTGGTCTTCGGCACAGTGGCCTGCTCTCCAACAGCTCAGACTCATCAAACAGCTCTTCTGCATAGCCATATGCACGACCACACCTTGCCCCACTGAAGCATGCCAGCTCTTCAAGCCTCCAGCCCCACTAAAGCTGGTTCTGCAGGCCCACCATCAATGAGCTTGCTTGTCAGGACTGGACAAGCAGTCACAGTTGCACTTTTTGAATATGACACTGGGATTGAAGTGGACCAATCATGTTTAAGCTCTCAATGGACCAATCTGACTGGTTCCATTCCAGGATTTTTTGAGCCCATTGAGGATTCTAAATTAGCCAATAAGGTGGTGTTTGAAAGGTGGGAACCCTGATGAGGATAAAAGCCCGCACAACAACTGACTTGATGCATTGAGCAGATCCTTTCATCAGACCCTTCACAGACAAATTTAACGGGACAGCAAGATTTCCACAGATCTTCACAGAGAACCCCACAGCTCTCTGTAGAATTTTGTAGGGACCACTGACACTTCCATAGTCTTCAACACTTCCAAGACCGCTGCAGACTGTGAGACCACCACAGATCTTTGCTTCAATCTGCAGTCTTGTAACTGGATCCTTGCAGCCTCCAGAGGTTACGAAGCAAGGTGACTGTGTTGGGGTAAATTGTGCTGGCCTCAGCCCACTGCCTGTGGATGGTCCCCGCCCCAGACCCCAGTTAGGCTAGCTCTGGCCACACCTCTCTGGAACCAACAAGCCCTGACCTGAGTGCAGATCAGATTGGACGCTTCCCCTTTAATATCAGGCTCTAGGAGTCAAAACTGAACCAATCAGGTTTGAGCAAAATGGACCAATCAGGAGGGAGTTAAGACAACCAATCAAGTTCCAGTCTACTTCATTAATTATTCAGATTGAAAAATGGAAAATGAGCTATTAGTGCTAAATGGTCCAATCAGATGCTTAGGATTGAAAATGGCCTGTTCAGGCTTATTCAGTGGGGGCCCCTGAAGGGGATACAAGGCAGAACAAGAGCCAGCCTGAGGCAGATGCAGCAGTGGTTTCTGTGGAGGTCTATTGACGTGTGGAAGTCTAAAGTCTACAAGGTTTACATTCTACAGAGGTCTGGTGAGTCCCATGGGGGTGGACTGCTTGATGCATCTCTCTTCAGAGTCCAGAAGCAGAACCTTTCTTCTTTGAAAATGGTTTGATGAAAGCTTTCTCTTCAAACAGCAATATGACTCCTTCTTTCTTCTGAAGCTTGGAGCAGAATGCTTCTTCAGAGGTGGTTCAATGAATCCTTCACTCTTCAGAGGATGGCTGCACACTGACTCAAGCTGGCTTTTGCTCTGCCTGGTATCTCCTTCAAGGCACCCCCTTCTACAAGCCTGACTGGACCATTGTAAATCCTAAGCATCTGATTGGAATGTTTGAAACCTCAACAATAGACATCAAATTAACATGATACTATAACTAGTTTAGATTATAGCGTTAGAAATATTAAAAGTTTGCCAGGGAGGAACTTGCCTTCATTAAATCGCTTCTTAGAGCTCTCAGTTCCATAACTACTGCTGACAGTGTGGACTCCAGCTGCTGCTTCACTTGAGCACCACTCCTGTAGTGCTCTTCTTCTCTTTGCAGCCTATCCCTAAGTGTTCCAATAAAAAGTCAGTATATGAACGGTACATATGACTCTAGGAAGTATTGCAGAGAGAAAAATTTTGAAATGATACTGTACAGTTAGGGTTAAAGTTAACCTTTTTGCTCCACATAGTTATTGGTACTGTCTTTGCATAGTTTAGTTACAAATTTAAAAGGGAAGTTTTTTTTTTTTTTAAACAAGCTTACAAATACACTAGGAAAAAAAGTTCAACTTCACAAAATATTACAGTTACTACTAAAAATGATTCACAGTGTAGACAGCATCTGCAGATTTCTTTCACACAACATCCATCTGTAGATCACTATAATCCAACACTAGGTGAGGGAATCTGTTAGCTGTTGCCCTACTCTTTTTATGTTTCTACTTTTGCAACACTTTCCACTGAGCTTGTTGGTTACTAGGTATTTTAGAAATCATTTTTATACTCCTTTTGGAACAAGACAACCCATATTCACTAAGTATAATAAAAAGTAATATGTGCTTTTAGCACAGACCTAGAAATAATTTGATATAGTAGGAGAGAATTGTTGAATACATTATTCAGTAATCACTTTCCACTTTTCTTTTTATTCCATGCATAGGTTAAGAATAAGACTACATAATTTTTTGTTTGCAGTAATTTTATTATTTATTAAACTTTTTATTTTTTAACATGATTATTTATCTTTATACAACATTTGATTTCCCTGCTCATATGTAGTCCCCATAAATTTCCCACCACCACATCACCCATGGACTATACATTTTTAAAAACATCTTCTGTCTTCAGAAAAGTGGCCATTTCATGTGTGTTGTTGGAAATGGAAATTCATATAAACTCTCGTGAGAACAATTTAGAAATATAGATCAGAGACATTTCAGCATTGCTGCACTTCAGCCAAATACTATACTGAAGATTTTTTTTCTTCAGTATACAGATTAATACAAAAGGAAATCCTTGCAGCAATAGTTATAACACAGTATTCCATATGGTATACTTCTATATGGTCATTAAAAGCATGATTTGGAAGACTACACAGTAAATTATTAGCAAAAGTATTCACTATCAAAAACTTGCTATACTATTTCCAAGAATTTCATATTCCACAGCACTAAATAAAGGTTTCTACTCTGTAAAATCCTAGAAGACAAGTTGGCAATTACAAACTTCTCTCTTGGGCCTCCCCTGGTGGTGCCGGCAGTTGAGCGCTGCACTATGAAGCTGTTCGCAGCCTCTGCAGCACCGGTTTGATCCCGACCAGTGAGGGTCCCACATGGCACGGCAGATATATCCTGTCTTACCCGCTGCTCCCCTCAGGAGTGTATTTCGTTAGTTTGCCTGTCCTGTTCCCTGCTCTGTCTCTGGTGAATTCTCTCACCCTCCCATGCATCTGGCCTGTACCCCAGTTCTTGTATAAATAAATAAATCTGAAAAAAAAAAAACCTTGTAAAAAAATTAAAAAAAACTTCTCTCTTATGTATTTGTAGTATTAAACGAAATAGTTGAAATATGTCTTTAAAACCAAAATGCTCAATACCTCAAATTGCAGCAGCAGTATTCTTGTTTCAAATTTTGCTGCTTAAGCTGTGAGCTTATGTCTTTTGTTGCTAATAGCTCCGTTTTTAGTGCACAATTCTCATCTTTCATTTTTCTATATTTTTTCTTAAGTAGTTCACAGTGATTATCTTTAATTTCACATAATCTTTTATGTGGACAAATTAAATCCTGGCATTTTGAAAAGTTAATAAAATCTGAATCAGGGAGAAAACACAAAGAGAAAAACAAAATATATAAGTACTCTTTTTTTTGCATATAAATGGCAGTACATTTTCTCAATCACTCATCCATACCTTAAACAGATACATACATATTGAGTACCTACAAAGTGGAAAAAATTATATTAAACTCTGCAGACAGAACAGATGGGAACAATGGCTCTTATTTAGCTTAAGGGACAGATAAAGTTTAGCGTAAAGTCTAAATTCCTACAGATACTACAAGAAAACAAAATTCTATGCTCACATGACAGCACTTGATCTAGAGTAGGCCCAGGGAAGAGGTCCCTGAGGAACAGACTGTTGCCCTGAGGAATGAAGGAGAAGCAGAAAGCAAAGGAGAAAGAAAGCCACTCTAGGTAGGGGACAACATGTGCTGAAGTTTTATTACAATCTGCTTCTAGCCAAGAGGAAGTAACAGGTACTAATTTACCCTCCTACCTGAAACAAGCAAAAACAAAACAGAAAAAAAAATACAATAAAAAATAATGATTTTCAAGACAAAGGACTTCAGGTAATGAAAGACAATGCCCCAGCAGATCACTAGCTTAAGATAATTTCCAGATCATGACACAGGGAGAAGGTACTAAGGTGACATCTACCAGATACTTTTAGGTGAGGTGATGAAATTGAGGGTCTGGTGAAACCAAGAAGATAGAGATCACAGGTCAGATCACTGAAGAGAAAAGGGAAGAATCAAGAAAGAGCTCTGAAGATCTACAGAGGGGCCTTCTGGAGTATTCAACAGAGTAATAGGCAGTGAATTCATATGAAGAAGCCACCTGAGACAAAGGAGAAAAAATATCTGAAAAGAATAAACTGCACCAGGAATAGTGGTGCTTCCTTTAGCTAGCTTGGAAAAATTCATAATTAACAGGACAATGAATAGAGCAGTGAGAAAGGTCTTGCCTTGGTATTGGGAAATAATTAGCCTGAGGGCATTACTCTGGATTCACCCAACAGATGAAAAGAGCAAGACCATGAAGGATCAAACTGTTTATAAGTAACTTAACTGGAAAAAAAGAAAAAGAAGAAGAGTAAAGTCATGGAAGCTATTTTTTTCCCAAATAAGTAGCAGATTATATGAAAAATATAATGAGATTATATGAGATTATATGGAAAATATAATCTCAGAGATGACAAATGTTCTGGTTGGGAATAAACATATATTATAGTATATGTGCTGCCGAAGCGAGCACATGGAAATAAACATATATTATAATCACACACACACACACACACAAGACTAGTAAGGATGACCTTGGTGAACTGTGAGAAAAATTTTAAATGGCCATGATACAATTCTCCAAAGAGTTAGGGGAAAGAAAAAAAAAAAGTATTTTGAAAAAATGACCACAAACTTTCTAAACTTCATGAGAACTGTAGTTCCACAGGCCGAGGTAGTATCTGTGTAAGACAGGAGAAACAAAAGTAAACTGCTGTAATTTTGTCATACTGCATATGATATGGTATAGTAGTACTTGAATGTGGACAGTGATAAGTTAGTCTTACACTATAAACGCTACAACCACCACTAAAAGAGTGAAACAAAAGAGTTATAGCTAATTATCTAATATAAGGAAATAAACTAAGTCATACAAATCACTTGATATTCTAGAAGGAAACAAAAGAAGGGGAACAAAGAGCTGGTGAGGCAAACAGAAATCAATCAGCATGATAACAGATTAAACCTAACTGTATATATATATATATAGAAATTACATTAAAAGAAAATCATATGAAAACTTCAATGTAAAGGCATATGATCAAACTGAATCAAATAGCAAGTCCAACTAAATGCCACCAACAAGAAATGCAAGTTGAAAATAAAGGCACACATTTGTTAAAAGCATGGAAAAAGATATATACACTAATACCTGACAAAAAAGGAAGGTGAGCTGGTGTGGCTATGCTAATACCAGACAAAGTAGTTGTCAGAGCACAGACTATAATCAGCAATAAACCAGACAATTTCACAATAGAAGGGTCACTCTATAGGAAGGATAATAATCCTCTACGTTTATGAACTTAACACTAGCTATAGAATGCATGAAGCAAGTATCCATTTATGATAGTAACTCTAACCAAAATGGTGATGGAAGGAATCTACCTTAATATAATAAAGGCTATATACCACAAACTAACAACCACATTATATTCAATGGTGAAAAACTGATAACTTTCCCCTTACGATTGGGAACAAAGCAAGATGCCCATTGTTACCCCTTCTTTTTAACTTAGTACTAGAGGTTTTGGTCAGAACAATCCGACAAAATCAAGAAACAAAGGGAATACAAGTCGGAAAGAAGTGAAACTATCACTACTTACAGATGATATATTATATTTAGAAAAATCCCAAAGACTCTATCAAAAAACAATAAATGAATATAGAAACAAAAAATGAATATAGCAAAGTAGGAGGTTCAAAATCAATATATAAAAATGATAGTAATTTAATAAGCAGTCATTATCAAAATGGCCATCCTACCAAAAGCAATTTACAGATTTAATGCTATTCCAATAAAAATTTCAATGACATTCTTCAAAGAAATACAACAAATATTGATGAAATTCATATGGAGCCAACAAAAATCCAGAATAGCCAAAGCTCTTCTGAAAAAAAAAAAAAAAGAAGGGAATGGAGGTATCACATTCCCAGACTTCAAGCTACAAAGCCATAATAATCAAAACTGCATGGTATTAGAACAAGAACAGACACACGGACCAATGGAACGAAATAGAAAATTCAAAAATAAACCCAGATTTATGGGCAACTAATCTTTGACAAGGGAGCAAAGAATATGCAATGGAGCAAGGAAAGTTTGTTCAATAAATAGTGCTGGGAATACTGGGTCACCACATGCAAAAGAATGAAGCTTGACTGGTGCCTCACACCATGCACAAAAGCCAACTCAAAATGGATTAAAGAACTAGACATAAGACCTGAAACTATAAAATAAATAGAAGGAAATATAGGTAAAACACTACATGACATACACCTCAGTAATAACTTGAAAGACACATCACCCAAAGCAGTGATAGTGAAGGAACAGATAAACAGCTATGGCTACATCAAATTAAAAAGCTTCTGTACCGCAAAAGAGACAGTAACCAAAACAAAGAGACACCCCACCAACTGGGAGAAAATTTTTGCACACAACGCGAATGATAAAGGACTGATCACAAAAATCTACAAAGAGCTGCGGAGACTCAACAAAGACAAAGTAAACAACCCAGTCAAAACATGGGCAGAAGAGCTAAAAACAAATTTCTCCAAAGAGGAAATGCAAATGGCCAACAGGCATATGAAAAATTGTTCAACATCACTTGTAATCAGGGAAACGCAAATCAAAACTACAATGAGATACCATCTTACACCAGTGAGAATGGCACATATTAAAAAAACTAGCAACAACACATGTTGGGGAGGATGTGGAGAAAAAGGAACCCTCCACTGCTGGTGGGAATGCAAACTGTTCCAACCACTATGGAGAGCTGTGTGGATATTTCTCAATCTGCTAAAGATGGAGTTTCCATATGATCCAGCAATTCCACTCCTAAGGTATTTACCCAAAGGACACAGAAACATTAATTCAAAAGGGCGCCTGCACCCCTAGATTTATAGCAGTACTATTTACAATAGGTAAGCTATGGAAATAATCATAATGCCCCCAAATAATTGACTGGATCAAGAAGCTGTGGTACATATACACAATGGAATATTATTAAGCAATCAAAAAAGATAAATACATGCAATTTGCAGCAACATGGATGGAAATGGAAGGGATCATGCTCAGTGAAATAAGCCAGAAAGAAAAGAAAAATACCCGATGGTCTCACTCATAGCAGGAATTAAGAAAACCTAAATAAGGGATGAGGAAAAAGACTAATTATAATAAAGTAAAAATCAAAATCAACAAGCAACTATAGGCCCTCCCCTGGTGGCGCAGGCAGTTGAGTGCCACACTGTGAAGCTGTCTGCAGCCTCTGGAGTGCCAATTCAATCCCCATATCCAACGAGGGTCCCACATGGTGCGGCAGAGCTCTCCTGTCTTGCCAGCTGCTCCCCTCAGCAGTGTATCTCATCAGTCTGCCTATTCTGTTCCTAGCTCTGTCTCTGGTGAATATCTCACCCTCCCATGCATCTAGCCTATACCCTGGTTCTTGATTCTTGTATAAATAAATAAATAAAAAATCATTAAAAAAAGAAAAAAAACAAGCAACTATAAACCAGACACACAATACAGGGAGGGGGAGAAAGGAGTAGGATCAAAACACCAGGGATGGGAATTGTCTGGGGACTATAACCAAGATGAGAATGCATACATTGTACAAAAATGAAAATGATGTAAAAAATATACAAAACTGAAAAAACAAAAATAAAAATAAATAAATATAAAAAGAAAGAAATAAAATAAATGATTCATTTCTCTAATTTATCTTTCTCTTTTCTCTGACTACCCTTTTTTCCCTTCTTCCTTGCTTCCTTATTTTTCTTTGTTGTTCTTTCTCTAGTCTTTTTGAAGTTTCCTTTTATCATTTGTTACTATCACAAATAGCTATGTCTTGGACTTAAAGTCTGTTTGTTGTTGACTTATTAAAAGTGTTATATTATTCAATATACTATAGATTATAAAAAAAGACAATTTAAGAAAATTAAAAGGCAATTCACAGACTGGGAGAAAATTCTTGTAAAAACAAAGCTGATCAAGAAACTGTATTTTCAAAATGTCAGAACTCTCAAAACTCAACTAATAAGAAAACAACATAATTTTTAAATGATAAAAGATTTAGACACAGTTCAAAGAAGATAAACAGATGGCAAATAAGCTAACAGAAAGATACTCAATAGTATTGGTTATTTGGGAAATGCATACTAAAACCATAATAAAATACACATTTGAACACCTATCAGAATGGTAACATTAAAAAACTGGCAACAGGGCCTCCCCAGTGCTTGAGCACCCTGCTGTCCACAGCCTCTGCAGTGCGGGTTCAGTTCCTGGCCAGTTGGGGAGAAACCCACATGGCGAGGCAGACCTCTCTTGCCTCACCCGCTGCTCCCCTCAACAGTGTCTTCGGTCAGTCTGCCTGTTCTGCTCCCTGCTCTGTCTCTGGTAAATTCACTCACCCTCCTGTGCCTCTGACTGTACCCCGGTTCTTGCATAAATAAATAAATCTTTAAAAAAAACTGACAACAGTGAGCGTTGATGAAGATATGGAAGAACTAGAAATCTCATAAGCTTTGGGTGGGAATGGAAAATGGCACAAGCCCTTTAGAAAACAATTTGGTAGTTTCTTAAGAAGGGAATATAAAGGGGCTTGAGGAGACTTTGAGGGGTGATAGATGAGTTAACTATCTGGATTGTGAGGATGGTTTCATCTTTGTATACATATGTCAAAACTATCAAATTATACAATTTCTATAGGTGTGGTTTACCTAACAAAAGCTGTTGAAAACAAAAAGTCTTATTGTAGGAAAGACTACGCAGTCACTGAGACACAGATGAGAAAAGGACATGGAATAACACAAAATGCAACTAGTGGATGGTGGCCTTTAACCTAGAGCATTGAGAGATACTAGCTGGATTTTAAGGAAAGGGTAACATTATGAGATCTGAAGTTAAAACAATATATATGGCAATTATGTGTGCAGTACAGAAGAAGGTTTCCAGAGGTAAAATGTCAGGGGAAACATATCTGAGGATATTTCAGTATTCTAGGAGGGAAATAATGGGAATCTGACTTCGAGGAAAGGCCTAGGAGAGAGCAGAGTCAACAAAAAGTATCATGGGGATTCTCACAGCTCTTTGGCTGGAAGTAATCAATAGTTCTCATTTCATCTCAATATAAAACATATTTCTGAGATGAATAACATGAGAACAGATCTGTGCTCTATAGTGAAGTACTAGACAAAGTGTGCATGTGACACTACAGTATATGTGTTAAGACTTTATAATTAAACAATGCTCCTACCTTTACAATTCATGCAAAGTTGTTCCATTAACAACGTACAATTCTCATGTTCCGAGTAAAACGAGTCACAACCCATTGAGGCTGTTTCAGATGTCTGAGTTATGTCATCAGAGTCATCTGTAGGATTGATTTCCTGTTTGACATACAAATAAAAATATTTCAAAATGCTCAGTAACTATCAATAAATATGCTAAGTGTACAGAGGTGATAAATATTCACCTTTTTATAATAGCAAAAACACAGGTACTCCTTAAAGGAACTGACTTTCATGAAAAGGATACCTTTATATATGATTATTATTTATAAATTATTTTTAAAGTAAACATTTTTATAATGATTTAAGACTTTCAAGTTTTTCCTTATATCTTTTAAAATGTATTTTTACCACAGAATAATTTTTGTCCTTATTTATTCTTTACTATACCTTCTTCTCATTAGATGTTTTCTTTACAGGCCTATAAAAAGAAAAGATTTATTTTCAGGCAAATAGTAAATAGCCAAATACAAAGAATATCAAAACCTATTGTTATATAAAATCTTCTAACCCATACTTTCCTAAAAAGGGATTTAACACCAAGTTAAAAGAGTAATAACATTAAGGACCAAAGATGTACTGTAATATTAACAAATTATTAAATTTCTTCAAATTAACAATCAAAAGACAAAAAGGAAAATCAATGTTATTTACATGATTTCATAGGAAACATATTCTCAGGTTTTTTGTGGTGGTCATTTTCAATAAAAAACAAGCTTTTACTGGTACTAAAACCTAACTGAGAAGTATTGTTCAAGTCCTTATATGAAAAGAAACCTTTTTAAATCATCATGGTGGTGGTATGTATGGTAACATACATCTGAAGAGATATGAACCTATCACCTAAAATATAGACAGGGTTGTAAATGAGATGCTACAATAAAAAAGAAAATAATTGCTCATCCTCATCTATCGCATTTCAGGAGTATCTTTCCGATAAAGTTCATTTTCTCTTGCCTCAGTAAGTATGCCAGATTATGCTGTTTTATTTTCAGTAAAAAGTAATCACTGCTAATATTCCTTTATCAAGACAGGAAGAATTTATAGATTTTACCTTCCAACATACTGATTGTTTTCATGTCTCCTGCTGTCACCTTGCTCCGGAAATACTACACCAGCCGTCTCATGTGTTACTGTCAGAGCTTCTGTTGGCATATTCATTTCATAGGTGCTTTTCTTTCCTTTTTTTCTAGTCAAGCCAGGAACTCTAGTTAAAAATCCATAAGAAACTAATGTTTTAGAGGAAATCTATTGTAAACATTTAAAAAAAATGAAAAGTTCCAAAACTTATCTAGCCTATTTCATTTATTAACTCGGAAAGCCATGATGAAGTAACAACCATAAGCAAGGAAACATACTCCTTGCATCACTAACAAAAGACCCTGACCAAGGAACTGGCTAACTAACAAAACAAGCCCTAGAAATTTGACTACAGAATTGAGGCTAAAAGAGGGGAAGGAGAGGAAAAGGTGACAAAGTAACAGGGATGAGAATCCAGCGGTCTAGGATAAAGCACTCTGGGTGCTTTGGCGGTGAGGATCGTGTGGTAATATCCACCTGATGAGGTGGGAACCTGTCCCCTAAAACATGCACAGGCTTGTCAACCAATGTTCCTTCGATGAAGTCACCCAAAACTGACTGGTCCTCATTGTTACCTCTCAGCAGTATTTGTCTGACAAGTGTAAGATTTTTCTTGTGTTAGCCTAGAAGCTACATCATACAGTCTGAGTTCCAGAAGAGTAATCACTGCTAATATTCCTTTACCTATACAGGAAGAAATTATAGACATTGCTGCCATTATTCTGTCTTGATTCATGTCTTCTGCTGTCACCAGTCACTGAATGCAAAGCACCAGTCTTCCTGCTTACTTTAGGCACAGATACTGCTGAATTACATGTTTCATTTTTGCTCTTCCTTACTCCACTTTTATGCAAGCCAGGAATATTACTTCCAAAAAAGAAACCAAATGAAGCTAATGTTTTTAAAATATACTTATAATGATTTAAAACACAACTTTTGTAAAATAAAAATAAAATGGGAAGGGTTGAAGAGAAACAGGAAAAACAAAAACGAAGAACAATCAGGTTACAAAATGTAAAATACTGGAACAGAAGTCACCACAGTAATTTTGAAAACTCCTAAATGCTAAATTTAAAACCCAGAGTTCACTGACTCAGAGTTATGACACACACAGTTGTGGAAATACTAATTAGCCATATATGATGCTTATCAATTTCTTTTTAAATATAATAACATATAAATGGAAAAACAGTATTAGATACATACAATATGAATGAGGAAATCCAGGAAATATGCTGGGGCTGGGGTGAAAATGCCTATATGTTGGTTTGACTTCAGTTCATGACCAAATAAGTCACAATTCATCAGTCCCTCTTCCGAGAACAACAATTTGGTGTCACCCATGGACAAAACATAATGCCTTTCTTTTTTTTTAAAGATTCATTAATTTATTCATACAGGCACTGGGTACAGTCAGAAGCGCAGGAGGGTGAGAGAATTCACCAGAACCAGAGCAGGGAACAAAACAGGCAGACTGGGCCTCCCCAGTAGCGCAGTGGTTGAGCGCTGGGTTGCGAAGCTGCCCACGGCCTCTGCGGCGCCGGTTCGATCCCCGGCTGCTCCCCGGCCACCAGAGGAGGGTTCCACATGGCGCGCAGACCTCTCCTGCCGCCCGCTGCTCCCCTCAGCAGTGTACTTCGGTCCTTCTGCCTGCTCTGCTCCCCGCTCTGGCTCTGGTGAATTCTCTCACCCCCCCCCCCGCGCTTCTGACTGTACCCAGTGCATGTATAAACAAAACCAAACAAAGGAACAAATAAATAAATAAATAAAGCATGCCTCTAAATAAATAAATAAATAAATAAATAAATAAAACAGGCAGACTGACAAAATACACTGCTGAGGGGAGCAGTGGACGTGGCAGGGGAGGTCTGTCGCACCATGTGGGACCCTCGCCATCGGCCGGGGATAGAACCGGCACTGCCGAGGCTACAGGCAGCTTCCCAGCCCAGCACTCAACCGCTGTGCCACCAATGGAGGCCCAAAACATAATGCCTTTCTGAGAGCTGAGTGCTCCAGTCCCATACACCAAGAGATCTAAGAGGGGTGGCAGCTTTGCATGCAGTGTGTACAGGCTCACAGACCACAGTCTCAGCAATGGACCCTGCACGGCCCAAGACTTGGCTCCACACACTCAGCTGCATCCAGGAACAGCTGGAAAACCCTGCTTTCAGCAGTCAGACGGGGCAGCATTCATTGAACTGCAGACCTTAATCTCCATTCTCCCCAAACCCTAGATTAGAAGAACAGGTGGTTGTGTTCAAAAACACCATGTTGGACAGCATACATTTCTCCTACCTTCGGGAACAATACAGACAAACATTGTAAGTTAATTTTATACACTGAGGGTTCATAATTCTGTGGCAAGAATTTTTTTTAAAGATTTATTTATTTTATTTTATTTATTTATACGTGCACTGGGTACAGTCAGAAGTGCAGGAGGGTGAGAGGATTCACCAGAGCCAGAGCGGGCAGCAGAGCAGGCAGAAGGACCAAAGTGCACTGCTGAGGAGAGCAGCGGGTGGCAGGAGAAGTCTGCGCGCCATGTGGGACCCTCCTCCGGTGGCCGGGGAGCAGCCGGGGATTGAACCGGCGCTGCAGAGGCTGCAGGCAGCTTCGCAACCCAGCGCTCAACCTCTGCGCCACCAGGGAGGCCCTAACTCCTATAATATACTAGTTGCTTCTTTAAGTAATAACATATAAATAATTTTTTTCTATTCAGATCCATTTGACCTTACATAAAATACCATAATACCAGTAAAAGGTTTAAAAGTGAGGAAACATATGACCGGGCTTAACCCCCACAATGGAGAACATTCATAGAGCAAATACTGCATATTGCAGAGAGCCAAAGGAATCCCAAAGGGCATATAATTGACAAGTAGACTTTCAGCAGGGACCCACACAAGACTGTTTAGTCTAAGTGAGAATAAGTATAAAATGTACAACAAAACACACAGGTTAAACTCCATTCACTCAGTAAGTCTTCAGGGGATAATATTCCAGCCCAGTTTCGGCACTGAAATAATAGCAGAGATCAGACCAAAATCCTACCCCTGAAAAATGAAGTAAACAGATGATGAACTAGATGGCCAAACATATATCCTGCTAGAGAATACCATAGCAGAGAAAGGAAATTTGGAGGTTTGTAAGCAGGTGAGGCATAAGAATATGACTCAAAATGGCCAACCCAGATATTGCTGAGAAAGTGGCTTAGGAGAAAGTGGCTTTGAAGGAATGAAAGGATTGGTCTGATTGGAGCCCAAGCCACAGCTGCAATGAGTATTGGTAGATATTAAGACAAAATATCTGCAGTTCAAATATAAAGTTGGAGATCACTAATACATACAAGAAAGTAACAGTCATGAGACAGAAGATCAAGAACTGAATGTTAAAGCTCCTCAATTTATATAAAAGGAGGATGCAGTTGAAGAGAAATAGGAAACACAGACTAAGATGGAAGAACAAGAAATGCTTGGGGGGAACCTGATACATGAGTTTACCCTTGGAAAATACAAGTCCTGAGAATCAAATGAAGAACTCATTTTGAAGGAGAGATTTCCATTATGCAAAAGTGTTCACTGGTCTAATAAGAAATGTGTGGATTTTGTAACATGAAAAATCACTGGTAATCTGTAAAATTTGGAGAAAGTTGGGAAAATTACTGTTTAAGAGTGAACACAAGAAAAATTAGATGGACAGTTCTGTAGGACTTAGCCAAGTATCACAGCCATGGAGGACAACATTTTCTTCTTCTTTGACTGTATTTTGCAATACCCAGTCACAACTATTTGGTATTTTTGGTACTACTCTACTTTTTCTCAAACCACCTCTTTGTGACATTCAATGGACAACAAAAAGGTGGATCAATTGAAATTCATAAACTCTTATGAGCAAAATATTCTGAGTATGTGTCCATTAATTGAATTTGTAGAGCAAAGTCACTAAACAAAGGAAATGACAAAATTAAAATAAAATAAATCTAGGACATAGGAATGAAAATTGAGGCTGAGAGTGGGAGAGTTAGAGGGGGTGAGAACACACAGGAGGGGCCTAAGGTCTAGAGTAAAGCAGTGTGGGTGTGATGGTGGAGGGTGTCCTGTGGTAACATCCATCTGATGAGGTGTGAACTTATCCCCTAAATCATACACAGGTTGTAAATGAATGTTCCCTCAACAAAGGGGCAAAACACAAAGTGATTCTCATAGTTCATAGTTTGGCAGTATTAGTCTGATCAGGGTGAGATTTCTCTTGCCTTGGACTGTCAATTGTATTATGCTGCTTGTTTACCACAGTTATCACTGCTAATATTCCTTTAAACTGAAAGGTAATATCAGCTGTGTCATGACTCCTGCTATCCACATTCACTGGAAGGGCAGGACCACTCTTCTTGTTTGTTTGGCCAACAGATTTTTTTTTTTTTTTAAACGTGGTTTTATTTTTTTTTAATTTTTTTTAATTTTATTTTTTTTTAATTTTTTTTATAGAGGCATGTTTTTTTTAATTTTTATTTGTTTGTTTTGTTTTTGTTTATACATGCACTGGGTACAGTCAGAAGCGCAGGAGGGTGAGAGAATTCACCAGAGCCAGAGCAGGGAGCAGAGCAGGCAGTAGGACCGAAGTACACTGCTGAAGGGAGCAGCGGGCGGCAGGAGAGGTCTGCGCACCATGTGGGACCCTCCTCCGGTGGCCGGGGAGCAGCCGGGGATCGAACCGGCGCCGCAGAGGCCGCGGGCAGCTTCGCAACCCAGCGCTCAACCGCTGCGCCACTGGGGAGGCCCTGGCCAACAGATTTTGATGAAGGTGATAAATCGTTGTTTTGCTTCTTTGCTAACTTCTTCAGGAAACCAGGACCCATCCTTAAAACAAAGTAACAACTATAAGCAAGAAAACACTTCTTTGTCTCAAAGCCACAAGTCCAATTCTGATACCACGTGATAGTACATTTATGATATGCTGTAGCTGAGCATCTGGGAGGTTTTAAAAAGGGACTAACAAATACACAGCAGGTCACCAGAGAAGGAGTTAGGGGAGAAATAGCTCCCTCCACACAGAGATTATAACGTGAACAATAGGATAGAGCACAACACATCAATGTGTTTCCTAAACTTGCAAAGGACAGAACAAAACACTGAGAGTTGAGTACATCCAGAAATTCTGAAACATACTGAATGCAAAACTCAAAAGCTTTGAGTTTACTATGGAAAAATACTGATGCTTAGATGAGAGACTAATAATTAAATGTGTACTGTTTCTGGCCTTTGTTTTTTTTTTTTTTTAATATAAATGTGCACCTGATTGAAAAAGAGTACTAGAACATATATTGGAGAACACCTTGTGGGTGAAAAAAGATTTATTTTTTAAATATTCAGTACATATATCTTGGAATGACTCGGGGTCATCCAAATAAGTTGTACCCCATCAGTTTCCTGTACTAAGAATAACAATTTGGAATCACCAATGGACAAAAAAAAAATTGCCTTTCTCACCTGAGTGATCTAGTACCATACACCCAGAGAGGAGCCCCGGCTGCAGATGCAATGAATACATGTCAGGAATTAAGGTAAGATCTGAGCAGAAATATAACTCTGGGCATCTTTATTAGCAGTTTCCATTTTTTTTAAAGATTTATTTATTTATACAAGAACTGGGGTACAGTCAGAGGCACAGGAGGGTGAGAGAATTCACCAGAGACAGAGCGGGGAGCAGAACAGGCCGAGAGATGGAAGACACTGCTGAGGGGAGAAGTGGGCAAGACAGGAGAGGTCTGCTTCCCCATGTGGGACCCTCGCCTGCCAAGATAGAACCAGCGCTGCAGAGGCTGCGGACAGCTTCACAGAACTGAACTCAACCGCCTGTGCCACCAGGGGAGCCCCAGTAAATAAATCTTTAAAAAAAGAAAAAGAAAAGAAAAGCCATCAGATAATTTTCCTTGAAATTTAAAGGAATATTTGATTGTTACCTTGTGACATTCTCATCTGGTTTAAGTTTAAGTCTCTTGCCATCTACCTTCATACTGGATTGTGACTCAGATTCTGATTCTGATTCTGATGAAGAACATGTATCACTTTGGCTTTTATTTTTCTGTTTATCTTGAACTCTAATTTAAAAGAAGAAACCATGTAAATCTCATGGTTTCTGAATAATGTAATGATTAATTGTAAATAAACAATTGTTACAAAATTCCAACATTATCCACCATCATTCCTTGATATATTCTTAAAACCATGATAAAATAACAACTACAAGCAAGGAAAACATTCCTTGCTTCAAAGTGACAAGTGCAATTAGATAGAATGTGATCGTTAACAGTACATTTAATTTATGACATGTTGTAAATGAGCAACTGGGAAGCTTTCAAAGTGGGGACAAAAATACAGCAAGTCACCAGGCAAGGAGCTGGGGGAGAAACAACATGGAGATAACTACATAAACACTGGGATAGGGCACATCGCATCAATGTGTTTCCTTAAACTTGAGAGGAAAAGAACCAATCACTGAGAGTTGAGTGCACCCAGAAATTTTGAAACATATGGAAACCCACACTGAAAAGGTGAGTTACTGTTGAAAGCTACTGATGCTTAGACAAGAGACTAATTATTAAATGTGTACGGTTCTTTGGCCTTTGTTTTCATAATGCAATAATGTGCACCCGATTAAAAAATATACGGGAACATATATTGGAAGAAATATGAGAAATTCCTGTGGGTTAAGACAGATTTATTTTTAAAATATTCACTACATGTATCTTGGAGTGACATCAGGGTCATATGCATGTAAGATGTACCTCATCAGTTTCCCCTGCCACGACCTCAAAATGGCATCACCCATAGACAAAAACAAAAGTTGTCTTTCTGATCTCAGTGATCCAGTACCATATACCCAGAGAGAGGACCCAGTGCAGGTGCAGTGAATACATGTCAGGAATTAAGCAGTGTAAATGTAACTTTAGGCATCTATCATATTCAAGGAAGTAAAAGTCTTGGGGCAAAAGATCCTGGGAAACCTCAATTTGTCCAAAGGTAATGGGCATTGAGAAGAAATAGGAAAAACAGACTGAGGTCAAAAAACAAGAAATGGGACCATCTACTGCCATGGCTGGGCCAGGGGCTACTCTCCGCCACCTAGCCACCGTGTCCGGAGCCAGGGCTGTAGGTTTGGCCGCCTACAGGGCGCATGGTGCCCCGTTCCCTGATGCCTAGGGAAGGAGCTCTTTTTCAAGGCCAACCAATACCACTTCTTACACAGCCTGGCCCTGTTAGGGGTGCCCCATTGTAGAAAACCCCTCTGGGAGGATTACTGCTAGCTTCTGGAACCACCTTATTTTGCACCAGATTTTACTACTACGGTCTGAATGGAGACCACAGCATCCAGAATTTGGCCCCTGTGGGAGGAAGCCTGCTAATCTTGGGATGGCTTGCCTTGGCTCTTTGAATTTCCTTTTGTTTAATTTCTGGGTAATTTTCTGAGTGTTGGATCTGGAAAGGGGTTGAAAGAGAAAGGTAAGTAAAGAATTTTGTAGTAAAAAAAAAAAAAAAACAAGAAATGGGAGGGAGAAACCTGGTGAGTTCTCCCACTGAAATTAACAGAGCCTAAAGTCAAATGAAAATATTACGTGGTGGGAGAATGATCGCCATCGAGGCAGACATTGCCCATGGGTCTAAAGAGGTATGTGTTGTTATCATAGAGTGAAAAATCCTTGTAACCTTTAGAAAGCAAGTTTGGACCATGCATGAGTGGGACCCTTACTGTTGAATGTTCAAGAGTGAAAACAGGAGAAAATGGGAATAGATAGTTCTGTGAGCCTTCAAGAGCTCATGAGATACAATGGGGGCATGGGGGGGCGGGTGTCACAATTCTTCTTGCTTGAATAGTTACAAATACATAATAATGTTATTTGTTATTTCTGTAATATTCTACTTCTTTTGGTCAACAAAAGGATAGAGAAATTTAAAAAAAAAAATTGAATGATCAAACAAGCAGACATCTCCTAATACAACTGCATTTATTAAATTTCACCTATTTATTGTATTAATCCATATATGCTAAAGAGAAATTAACGTATTTATTGCAAAAAACTCCTCCATATAGTCACTAAACAAAGGGACTTAAAAAAAAAAAAAAACCCGGAATATAAGACTACACAACTGAGTCTACTAGAAGGGGAGCACAAGGCATTGGGGGTCAGAACAAAACAAGGAGGGCCCAAGATCTGCAGTAAAGCACTATGCATGCATTGGTGGTGGGTGTTTACAGTAACATTAATCTAATAAGGCAGTAAGTTATCCCCAAAATAATACACAGAGTGGAAAACAAATCTTCCCTCTATGACATGACCAAAAACTCATTGGTTCACATCGTTCAAATTTTAGTTGTATTTGCCTGATAATGGTAACATCATTTTCCCCTAGGCTTCCCAGTTTCAATATACTGTATGATCAGAAAAGCAATTACAGATACTTCTTTGAAATTTAAAGGAATATTTGATTGTTACCTTGTGACATTCTCATCTGGTTTAAGTCTCTTGCCATCTACCTTCATACTGGATTGTGACTCAGATTCTGATTCTGATTCTGATGAAGAACATGTATCACTTTGGCTTTTATTTTTCTGTTTGTCTTGAACTCTAATTTAAAAGAAGAAACCATGTAAATCTCATGGTTTCTGAATAATGTAATGATTAATTGTAAATAAACAATTGTTACAAAATTCCAACATTATCCACCATCATTCCTTGATATATTCTTAAAACCATGATAAAATAACAACTACAAGCAAGGAAAACATTCCTTGCTTCAAAGTGACAAGTGCAATTAGATAGAATGTGATCGTTAACAGTACATTTAATTTATGACATGTTGTAAGTGAGCAACTGGGAAGCTTTCAAAGTGGGGACAAAAATACAGCAAGTCACCAGGCAAGGAGCTGGGGGAGAAACGACATGGAGATAACTACATAAACACTGGGTTAGGGCACATCGCATCAATGTGTTTCCTTAAACTTGAGAAAAAAGAACCAATCACTGAGAGTTGAGTGCACCCAGGAATTTTGAAACATATGGAAAGCCACACTGAAAAGGTAAATTACTGTGGAAAGCTACCAATGCTTAGAAAGAGACTAATTATTAAATGTATACTGTTCTTTGCCTTTGTTTTAATAATGTAATAATGTGCACCTGATTTAAAAATATACAGGGGGCCTCCCCTGGTGGCGCAGAGGTTGAGTGCTGGGCTGCGAAGCTGCCTGCAGCCTCTGCAGCGCCAGTTCGATCCCCAGCTGATGGCGAGGGTCCCACATGGCATGACAGACCTCTCATGGCATGCCCGCTGCTCCCTTCAGCAGTGTGTTTCATCAGTCTGCCTGTTCTATTCCTGGCTCTTGCTCCGGTGAATTCTCTCACCCTCCCACGCTTCTGCCTGTACCCACTGCTTGTACAAATAAATGCATAAATCAAAGAAAGGAAGGAAGGAAGGAATGGGAGTAGGAAACCAGGCAAGTGAGTTCTCCCCTGAAATTTCCATAGCATAGAGCCAAATGAAGAAAGTATGTTGAAGGAGAGTGATTTCCATTGAGGCAGACAGAGCCCATGAGTTTAAAAAGGTATGTGTCAATATCACAAAGTGAAAAATCTGTGGAAAACATTAGAAAGCAATTTTTGAAGCAGGAATGAGTGGGACCATTACTGCTGTAAATTCAAGAATGAAAACAAGAGAAACTGGGGATAGGTAGTTTTGTAGGCCTTAAGAGCTCATGGCATACCATGGTGGATTACAATTTGACTAGTTTGCAATACACAATCATGATTATTTAGTATTTCAGTAATAGCCTACTTCTTTTCTAATCAGCAACATGTGACACACATTTATCAGAAAAGTAAAGGAAAATTCAAAAATTCATATGATCATTAAAGCAAATGTCTCCTGATTGTGTTTCCACATTGAATTTAACCTAACCTATTTTTTGAGTTTATGACTGGATGCAGAAAGATATTAAAGTATGTATGTAATGCATCTCCTCCTCACACTCACTGAACAAAGATACTAGAAAACAAAACAAAACAAGCCAAGAATATAGGACTACAACTGAGTGCACTAGAAAAGGATCACAAAGCATTGGGGGGTTAGAACTAAACAGACAGGGGACCCACACCTACAGTAAAGCAATATGGATACATTGGTGGTTGCTGTCGGCAGGAATATTCATCTGATGAGGTGGGAACATATCTCCCAAAATATACACGGGTTTGGAAATCAATGTTCACTCTACGCAGTAACCAAAAACTCATTGGTCCACATCACTCAAGTATTAGCAGTATTTGTCTGATAATAGTGAGAATTTTCGCCTTGACTGGCCTGACAAATGCAATATGTTGTTTAATTTCAGAAGAGCAATCACAACTAATTTTCCTTGAACCTTGAAGGAAGAGTTGATTTTTGCCTTGTGACAGTCTTAGCCGGTTCATGTCTCCCACCATCTACATTCTCTGGAATCACAACAGGCTTCGTACCAGCTAGACCCACAGATTTTGTGAATCACTTTGGCTTGGCTTGTTCTGTTTGTCTGGAACCCTGCTTTAAAGGAATAAACCATGTAAGCCTCATGGTTTCTAAGAAATCCACTCATAAAGTATAATAAAACAACTGTTAAAAAAATTCCTGGTGGCGCAGGCGGTTGAACGCAGCCCTGTGAAGCTATCTGCAGCCTTCGCAGTGATGGTTCGATCCCCGCCAGCCCTGGAGATACCCACATGGCGAGCAGACCTCTCCTGTCTTGCCCGCTGCTCCCCTCAGCAGTGTATTTCAGCAGATCTGCCTGTTCTGCTCCCTACTCTGTCTCTGGTGAATCCTTCAATCCCCACACATTGGGCCTATCCTCCAGTTCTTGTATTCATAAAAAATAAAATGAATCCTTTAAAAAGAAAAGCAAGCAAGCTTTTGGAAAAGACATGAATGGGAAAATTACTGGTGTAAATTCAAGAGTTAAAACAGGAGAAAGTGGGGGTAGATCTGTAGGTTTCTTTGGCCACATGACCCACGGGGGGGTTCACATTATCCTCGTTGGACTATATAATTGTAATACCCACTCATGATTAGTTAATATTTCTGTATTAGTGTACTTTTTTCCTAATCACATCTAGTGACACCAATTGTCAATAAAATGGCATAACAATTCAAAAAATTCATATGATCATGCAAGCATTTGCATTGATTGGAATGAACATATTTATTGAATTTATGAATGGATGCTTAATCAAAATTGATGTATTTATATAGCACTACATCTCCTCCACAGGGACACTAAAAAAGGAACTGGATAAACTAAACCAAAACAAACCAGGATATAGGAACAGAGAAGTGAGTCACTAGAAGAGGAGCACAAGGGATGGGGGGATAGGAACATTATGGGGGAGCCTAAGGTCAAGAGCAAAGCACTAGGGCTGTTTGGGTGGTGGATGTCATGTGGTAATGTAGCATCTGATGAGTGTGAACTTACTCCCTAAATGTTACACAGACTTGGAAAACAAGGTTCCTTCTATGAATTGACCAAATGCTCACAGGGCACGCTGTCCACCTTTCAGCAGTATTTGTCTGACACTAGTAATAGGTTTTTGCTTTGGCCTGTCCACTACAACAGGCTCTTTGATTTCAGAAAATCAATCACAGCTAGTATTCCTGTAACCTGAAAGGAAGAACAGAGCTTTTACTTTGTGACATTCTCATCTGGTTGATGTTTCCTGTCATTGACATTCCTTGGAACTATAACAACAGGTTTCCTAATAGATAGGCCAAAAGATTTTGAAGAGCTGCATCACTTGGGCTTTCCTTTGCTACTTTCTTCTACAGTTCAGTCACCCTAGTTAAAAAGAAGAAACCACAAAAGCTCATTTTGTTTATGAAATCTACTGATCAAGGATATTTAAACAGGGGGCCTCCTGGTGGCAGAGTGGGTTGATTGCCACATTGTGAAGCAGTCCATAGCTTCTGCAGTGTGGGTTCGATTCCCAGCCAGCCAGGGAGAAACCCACATGGTTTCTCCTGCCTCACCCTCTGCTCCCCTCAGCAGTGTCTTCGGTCCATCTGCCTGTTATGCTCCCCACTTTGTATCTGGTGAATTCCTTCACCTTCCCGCACCTCTGACCTGTACACCAGTTCTTGTATAAATAAATAAATCTTTAAAAATAAAAAGAATAATAGGGGCCTCTCCTGGTGGCGCAGCAGTTGAGCGCTGAGCTGAAGCTGCCCACAGCCTCTGCAGCACCGGTTCGATCCCCAGCTGCTGGCTAGGGTCCCACATGGCACGCCAGACCTCTCCTGCCGCCTGCTGCTCCCCTCAGCAGTGTATTTCATCAGTCTGCCTGTTCTGTTCCCCACTCTGGCTCTGGTGAATTCTCTCACCCTCCCATGCTTCTGCCTGTACCCAGTGCTTGTATAAAAATAAATAAATAAGGACCTCCCCGGTGGCGCAGCAGTTGAGCACTGGGTTACGAAGCTGCCCGCAGCCTCTACAGCGCCGGTTTGATCCCCAGCTGCTCCCCAGCCACCGGAGGAGGGTCCCGCATGGCGCAAAGACCTCTCCTGCCGCCCACTGCTCCCCTCAGCAGTGCACTTCGGTCCTTCTGCCTGCTCTGCTCCCCACTCTGGCTCTGGTGAATTCTCTCACCCTCCCGCGCTTCTGACTGTACCCAGTGCTTGTATAAATAAATAAATAAATCTTAAAAAAAAAATCAAATTTTAAAAAAATAAATAATAAATATTTAAAAAAAAAGAAGAAGAAAACTACTTTTGCAATATTCCAAACTTGCACCATTTTCATTCATTGATGTATCTTAAAACTGTGATGAAATAATAACCACAGCAAAAATACTCCTTGCTTCAAGGCCACATGTACAATTATGATACAATGTGATAGTTAAGAGTACATTTATGACATGTTGTAAGTGAGCACCTGGGAGACTTTAAAAGTGGTTACAAAAATACAGCAGGTCACCAGGCAAGGAGTTGAGAGACAAACCACTCCATATGGAAATAACAACATAAACACAAGAATAGGGCACATCACATCAATGTGTTTCCTATATTTGAGAGAGAAAGAACAAAACACTGAGAGTTGAGTGTTTTTTTAACACACTGAATGCTACAGAAATTTTGAAACACATTGAATGCTCCACTGAAAAGTCTGAGTTCACTGTGGAAAAGAAATTAAGCTTAGACATGGATCTATGAATTAGATGTCCAGTATTATTTTCAATTTGGCTTTCCATGTAATAATGTGCACCTGTTGAAAAATAGCATTAGGTCTATATAATATAATAGAAGAAAGCCAAGAAATATCTCATGGGTGAGAGCAGATTTAGTTTTAAAATACACATACTAGGAATGATACCATGTTCGTGAGCAACTAAGTTGTACCTCATCAGTTTCCCCTACCATGAATAAAAATCTGGCATCACCCATGGACAGAAAATGACATTCGGGGATCTTTATGTTCCAGTACCATACACCAAGATATCTGAGAGGGGCTGCAGCCACAGACACTGTGAATGCAGTACAGTATTAAGATAAGAGAACTGCAGTGTAAGTATAAATTTGGGGATCATTAGCATATACAAGGAAGTAAAAGTTATAG